TCATATTTAGATCATGTCCAGATCAATAAAGTAGGTGAAACCAATATACTTTGAAGCATATAACATGTGAATATAAGATGAGCAAGGCGACCTTTGAAAATGTATCGAAAATTGCTCTAGTTTCTTTTTTTATTTTTAATTGTTCTATTCAATTGTCAATTATCCGTTTATTTTTCAAAACATGAAATGGTTATATTTCAGTTTGTTACATTCCTTGCACGTTTACAATTGACTGAGTGGCATTAAGTGAAAAAACCTTGCAAAAAAATAGTTTATTCAAAGAGATTCTGTTTACAAGTATGCAAATAAAATATTTATTTTTAATTGGTTAGGTTCAGCTGAATAGTTTACTTTTTGTTTAGTTATAATCCTAGTTTCATCAAATCACTTAATATATTCTCACACAAAGCATGATATCTGTTGAATAGCATATGTTATACTTGTATATGAGAATCGATACAGTGTGTATCCAGCAGCTTAATCAAGGATGCTCATTTTGTCCTATCTGAAACTCGTCAGTAGTTATCGGATGCTCACTTTGATACGTTCCAAACTGAATTCTAACGAGACATTGTTCTGTAAGGTATTCACATGCAATTCTGTGTACTTTTGTTTATAATTCAAACAGAACTTAAACAATTAAACCAACATTACATTGGCTACTGTTTACTTAACAATCAATTGTGAATAATAGCTAGTATATATGATGTCAGTTAGGAAGACACAACTAACTTGATAATTATATGTTACACCGTGAAACTGGATGATTCAATTTCCATCTTAAAATGATCAGTAATTCCTTGCTAACAAAGTGACAACTAACATGAAATACCTATCTATGGTTTCCTATCGACTAAAGCCAACTACGTAATATTCAAATACATATTCCGTTTATCATATGCATAAAAAATTGTCCTACAATTCTTTTATTTCCAATTACATTTTTGGCTATTAGTGTTTCTACACAGTTGAAATCATCAGAAGACAGGACCAATCCAATTAAACCCTGTTGGGTGTAGACAGTAACTACCAAAGACAAAATCCCTGGATCAATCAGAGTTAGACATTAACACCGTTGGATGCCGGCTCAGTGGTCCAGAGGTTAGGCATTCGTGCGCAAAACCAAAGTTCCTGGATTCGAATCCTGCAAGATACAGGAGTCTTGGATGCGCACTGTTGATGAGTCCCATACCAGGACGAAACGGCCATCCAGTGCTTCCAGGTATCTAATGGTGGTCTAACAATGATTGAGTGAAGATTTAAAAATTTATAAAAAATTTCTTTATTGTTTATCATGTGAATTATATTTGCGATCGAAATTCACCAAGCAAAAGAAAATATGTGTGCATTTACGCAACAACAAGTTTACTAAAGACAACTGATATTTCTTCATACGATTTCATACACAATCACGCAGATGACTGTCTAAAATCATTTTAAAAAAAAATTTCTAGACTCAGTCTGAAGAACTTAACTAACTCTTCTTAAATCATTATTGTTTTAAACTATTGTTATTGTTTAATGGAAGAATAAACTAATTTGATTGACTTTGTTTTAATTTTGTACGGTTTCGTTTTCCGTTTTCAAATTGATGCATAATAAATAATCTGTTACAGGATTTCATTTTTTTTTCACGCGATGACGTCTATGATGAATTCAATAAATTTTCTTAAAAACACACGAAATCTGCTTTCACTATATATATTTATGTTCCATAATGATATAGATTGTACATTGACGAGAAAATAATTATTAGAAAATTAACGAATTTGAAAAAAATGTAGTCACATACATACATGTGTGATAGATGTTCATTTTGATTTCGAGTAAATGTATGAATTTTTAAAAATTGGTAGGACAATCTGTGATGATTATGTAATCGTTTTTGAATTTATTATTATGATAATAATCATAATTGTTCAAGATTATTCACAATATATAGTGATCATAGTATATATATTTAAAAATGTTTAGTTATCTGGAGATTATAAATCGTTATTACACATAAAAAAGTGTTTCAGTTACTTGTAAATAACCAGTGAGGGCTACTGTGCATAAAATCGAAATTCAATGGTTATATTCAGTCGGTTTTTAATGATGTAATGAGAAACATTATGTATTTTCAAATTATGTGGCCTAATTGAAAATAATATTGATTATTATCAATAAATCAGGAATATAGAATGCTGAAGAAATCTAGATGTGTTAAGATGAGCTAAGAAGTCATTATTAAACATTGTTAAAAATGTGTATTGCTAACATGAACTTGCTATTCACTACTCATTGATTTATAATGAAAATCGATTCTGACATAATTTAATTTTTACAAATCACTACAAATTAGACAAGTGTGAACATGTATGGAAGTTAACTTTATACGAAAGCTTGATATATTTCACTTTAGAAATGAATAGTGGTACAATTTTATAAAAAATGAAAGGTTAGTATACATATATTCTGTTGAGTTTACTTAGTAAGATTAGTAGACTATGTATGTTATATTTCTCAATGATTGACTTCAGTTATGGGACCTTTAAAAATTAAGCAACACTAGACTACGGTTGTGTCCCGGTGTAGGGCATTCTGACAGCTCTACCATGTGTTCTTATGAATATTTAAACAATAAACCATTGGGTTCGAACTAATTGATTTAGAATTTCGACTTCACTCAATCAGTTAGCTTACGACATGATTGAATTTGAAAATATAAACCCTTGAGTTGCAAGAGTTTAGTGTTATAATTATAACTGGTGGAATACTGGGTGAATGTAACTTGCTTAGATGCCAGAAGAATTTTGTAAGTGTACAGACTATGAGTTTTGCACTGGGAATAATGTGATATCCATCGCTTGTTGATTTTAACGGTACTTCATCACTACAAAACTTTTGTGTAATGCACTAAATTTCAATGCGTAAAATATTTATTCACACAAATAAGTCACAAAATTCCTACACATTTGAGTATCGCTTTATTCCATTATGTTACAATAGTACATTTGAAACCATTGAACTTAGAGTACGCAGAGTAGCAGAAAAGATTAGAAGTAGATGGTAGGTTTTTCGAAGAAAGAATACCTCCATGAATTCAGGCAAAAACATAGGATAATGATGGAACTTTGGATTTATAAGAAGACAACACAATTGAATGCATCTGTTCCATTCAAACTCATTTTAGCCATGTCATACGACAGAGAACCTCGGCGATCAGGGAGTCAACAATGACCAGTATGATTAATTCTATTCAACAGTCAATGACTACATTAACCGATGTTGTTTCGGTTAGGTTTGTTGTCCACCGAATCGCTTCTATACTACATAGGTATAGGTCGAGAATACTTAAAGTATGCGTTAACCAATCTAACTTTTATACATATATATAGCCAATCTGGAACTCAAAAGACCAGCAACTAACACCAAGTTACAAATTTTCAATGCAAATGTCAGGACGGACTCACTATATGAAGTGATAACTTGGAGAATCACGAAAACCATCATCCGAAAGATACAAGTTAATTATATCAATAGTTGTTTACGCAACATACTATGGGATAGAAAAAAAAACCAGGTTCCAGAAGAGAAAGATATCAGCAAGAAGCGATGGAGGTGTATAGGATATATACTGTAGAAGGCACCGAACTGCACTACAAGGCAAGTCCTAACCTGGAATCCTCAAGGTTAAATGAAAAGAGGAGAGGAAGATCGACCAGCATATTTACGGCTAGAATTAGAAACAAACATGAAAATAATGCATAGTAGTGGGATAGAACGTGTAAGGAAGATCAAAGACAAAGTAAATTGGAGAATGCTGGTTAGCGGCCTATACTTCATTTGATGACAATAGGCGTAATTAAGTAGGTAAGTAATATTATACCTGCATTTAAAATAATGAAATATAATGTTTCATTATAGTTAAAGTAAATGAATCGACTTCGTCTGTCAAACTATTATCTACATTTCTGAAACAATAAATTTTTCCATGGAAATCAATAGAATAATAAGTGATTATTATCAATTTCACATGACTTCTTTAGTCTGAAAAAAAATATTACATTGCGAAATAAAGAATTCCACTAAGCCAATCGAATTAACTTAATTGAATAAATATTTTTAAAAGTTCTTAATTTTATTATTAATTATTATTGTTATCAATATTATTAGTCATTTTTAAATATCGATAATACTAACAACGAACAACTCAGTAGTATAAAATTTAGGTATATAAATGTAATCAATGTAGAAAAAAACATAATTCATAAAACTAAAATATATATGGAATATTTTAAATCTACTCTCTCGTTTCATTACTCAAAAAACAATATCACTTTTATTACATTTTACACTGAAATCCTAAATGAATCATTGTAAGACCGTCATTAGAAACTCACAAGCACTGAATGACCGTTTCGTCCTGGTATGGGACTAATCAGCCGTGAGCATCCACGACTCCTGCTACTCACATGATTCGAACCCAGGACCATCGGTCTAGCGCGATGAAGCCTAACTTATAGACCACTAAGCCGGTGGCATCCAACAGCCTTAATGTCTGACATTGATCAATCTAAGGATTTTTGCTCAACCTAACCCATTTGTCTACCTCCTACACTTGACTAGATTGAAATCTACTGATTACGTCTTCCCACTAGAACTCTGAGGACTTTCTCAAGATGCTAGTCACTAGTAAGCATATATTTCGATTTCGCATTATATTATTTTGCAGATCGCTGTTATTTTCTTTTTAAATTAATCAGTCTATCTTTTATAGTACTGAGGAAATAGATTTACAACGAGTATGCTCTAGCTAGAGCCCTTATAGTGTTATTGCCAGTCCGAAACCCTGCTAAACGATGAGGGTTGAGCATAGTGTTCCAATGAATCCTTTCTTTAAAAAAATAAAAGCCTCACCAGAACATAAATGTCAAAACCAAATTTATTTCATTAAGAAAATTGAATTGTGAAAAAGAATATAATTTCTTTATTATTATTATTATTATTAATATTATTGTTATTCTTATTAGTTTTATATGAATATTGCTTGAGTGAACAATCATATTTGTAAATGAAAACGGTTACGTTTTTATTTTTTTTACAAGAAACATACTTGTCATTGTTTATCAATAATTAGTTAATTAGTTCTACTAGGGGTAGATTGAATAATTATAAGCTATGAAGCCCATCTATAATACTTTTCATGCATAAATATATCGATATATATATATATATACATACAAAGTTATAAGTTGTATAATTTACATAGTAATTACATACATATATATATATCTGATTACTTTAATGATGATTTAAATTTTATGGGGAAGATCACATTGATATCGATCCACTGATATTGATACGTCGATTAGTTTCATTTCAGTGCTTTCAACTGATGTACCATCTTGAGATAGTGTACATCCTCGCATAGCAAACTAACCACATTGTATGTATACATGTCAGTCTTTTTTTGAAAGCAAAAATAGGGAAACGTTTCTAACATTGTATGTATTGTACTCAAAGGATTGATCAGTCAAGTTCCGCCTATATTTTTGCCAACATCATTGATTGTGCTAACAGTGTTTTATATCAGTGACATTTTAATACGTCTGTTTTCGAAATGATCTGTCATTTTGTCAATAAATAAATGAATATATATTCTCATCAGTAGTATTAATATTTAGTATTGTTAGTAGTATAAATATGTATATATATGTATGGATATATACGGTTTATGAATTATCGATATAAAAAATGTTTTAAACATGTAACATTTTTCAGTAGTATATAACATGTTTGACGAAATCTCGCTGAGAATAATGAATAAAATACAAAATTTAAAGCAGCATTAATAATTAATAAAACATTTGAAATATTTGCATAAATTAATAGGCACTTTGTTGTATATTGTGTTGATTGTACAATACCTGCATTCCATAAATTAATTGTAATTGTCGGCACCATACTTGGTAATTGTAATATAACAAATGCCATCACAATAGAAATTAACATCAATGTGATACGATGTTGTTCGCCTAGTTTTGTACGTTTCATATTCATTAATGGTAGCAAACCAGTTTGATAATTCATTGGTCGATATGATTGAGTTATACCCGAGGTAATACCAATCGTGGTTCTCATACTAGCTTCCAATGCTTCACGTACAATAGCTGGTACCATTTGACTTGTAGTTGGTTCTTGATTTAATTGATTGGCACTATAATTACGACCATTATTTATAGTTTGCATATTATTGATATTTGTACTACTGTTACTTAACAAATTCCCCATTTTTAACGATGTCACATTACTATTAGTAGTATTAGTAGTAGTACTATGACGTTTCGTTAAAATTTTTCTATCATGATTCGCTCGCATCACTGAACGTATTAATAAACTATTAAAAATAATCAGCAAAATCATTGGCAATATCACAAATACTGTTTGATTAATATAATCATAACCAATTCTAGTTAAAATTTGATTGAATTGTGTATCCACAACGAGATATTGTCGATTCCTTGTTAAATTCGTTTGTTGATCAATATGTTGTTCAGTGTATTGTACAGTTTTTTTTAAATAATCCGGTAAAGTTAATGTGAAACTACTAATAAATATACCAATAACAACATAACGTGCCCGCTGTTTAGTACATAATCGTCTACCAAGCATTGGTAATGATATAGCAATATAACGTTCTAATGTGAAACCGACTGTAAGCCATGTCGTTGTATTACTGAATAGATTAGCTGTACCATGTATAAATGTAATACTATATGCGAATGGTGCACATTCTTTCACTGATGGATATAACCATAGAGAGAATAAATATGTAAATAATAAATAAAATAAATCACATATTGATACAGCAGTTAAATAAATATTAGTCGATGAACTCATCCATTCTCTTGTCAATATAATAATATTAATAATATTAGCTATAAAACCAATGATACATAGAAATGGTGTCAAGATTTTACCACAAATAAGACGCATTGTATTTAAAATTTGATTTAAATAAGCTAAATCTAAATCATTTTCTTTAGATGATGTTGATGTTGATGGTGATGATATAATAGGAATGTAATGAGTAGTATTTATATGTGTATTAGTAATATTCTCTGTGGTGGTCTTGATGATTGTCGTGGTTGTTGTTGTAATTGTATGCGTAATTAAATATAAATTAGTATAATTCGACATTTTTTTTATTATGAATAACTAATACAATATTTCATATTAGATAATTGAAAAATTAATTAACTACAAGTGAGAATTGTATGTCTTTTGTACAGTTAGTTTATTGAATGATGAATGATTGCAAATGAGAAATGTCATGATTACAAGGAGCAGTAGTTTTAATTAACGAACTGTTCACAGTTGTCATTTTGTCTAGTTCCCTTTTATTTCGAATGAATATCAAACTATGTGATAGAATGTATTTATGTAAAGATAGAAGGTAATAATATATAGGTGAAAATGTTACAGATTGTCTTTACCTTTTTTGTGTATTATATCTGTTTGTTTGGTTGGTTGGTTGTGCATCTAAATAATTTGTACTTGTGTATCAGTGTAATTTGTTTGTTTTTTTTCTTTCGTCCTTTACAAATAAAATTTTTTTGGTGAAGATGATGATGATAAGAAGCGAAAGAATGTCTCTTTTACTTGTATTGTTTTTTTAATGGTGGAATTTTAGAAGACTAGACCACAATGTAAATATATATATATATATATATATATATATATATATATATATATGTGAACGAGGAACAAATCAAATGAAGTACTGACCAACAAACGATACACGCACTAACACACACAGACTTACATAACATATTATGTCTATTCAATGTGTCCAATGATAAAAATGTAGGAAACCCGAATTGTGATCAGATCATCAGTTTGAACTAAGCGCCTAGAGAAAAAGCGAACGAACGAACAAACAAACAAATGCACACACATTCATTCAATGGATAAATAAAATATGATTTTAAAGACATTGACAATTGAAAAACAATGATATTTTACATACTGTCCACCAATAAACTTAAATCATAAAAAAAAAACAAAATATTCCGTATTTTATTTTGTAGTTATAAACACAAAATTTGTAACAGTAAAACTATTTACTATTTAATTAAAAAGTTTTCAGTAAGACAAAAATACATGAACAACAGTGGAAAATGGTCTTTCGATAAGTGAGATAAATTCATTAGAAATCGTGAAAAGAATGCAATTAAATAAGGGAAAAAGAACAGTAACAGCCTCTCTTTACTTGATGTCTAATTGTGTGAGATAGTTTGATGAGACAATAATTAGGAGCGATTAAACTGAAAACTGATAAGTTCAAATTCCAAGAGTGAACATGTCTAATTTCAGTTATTCTATAGAATTGTTAAAAAAAGTCTCATGTTATAACAAAATACACAAATGATCAGTTTTTGTGCGGATATGTTACAGTTTTTGAATGAAGTTCTGTTCGTGATATGTAAACTATAGTTATTAAGTTGAAGGAAAAACATTATAAGATTAGCTTAAATTAAATATCCAGTATCATAGGATACTTATCAGTAAATTCAATTGTATGTTTAATTCAGTTTCGAAATCTATAAAAGATTTTGTTTCTTTTAAACTAAGCATTTTAAAACTTTAAAATGTTGCGCCAGAAAAAAATATAATGGAAAGACATGAATATGTGGATTTCGCCATTGAGATCTTATACAAAAGCTTCCCTCACGGAGGTTGATATAACAAATATTCTGGTCAGTTAGAGGAGTTCAATGTTCAACGGCTTGTTTTTCAACAATTTTCCTTCGTTTTGAACTATTTATTATTTAAAATCATTATCTATTTTCGGCAATAAAAAAGGAGATCTGATTTATGAAATTCTCCAGTACCTACAAAACAAATATTTCCAACTTATCTGTTAGCACAAATGGATTAAAAGTATGTTCAAGTCTTACATTTATTTGAAATACAACTATTGTGAAACAGTTAATTTAAACTAAAAACGAATATTGATCTTTCATTCATTACGATATTTTCTAACTAATCTCAACTTAATCACACAAGATTGTTCCATACAATACAATTTTGTTATAAAAATGTGATTGTTTTTAAATTAATTTAAACCCATTTCACATTGTAACAGACTATTAGTTTATGAATATTAAAACATTCTGTTCATGATATTGTAAAATGGTTGGCTGGTGTAGCTTCATTTTATTTAAACCATAAAACTGAGTTGTTCAAACTGTCATGTAAATTTGAAGGAATAATTTCACAATAAGTGAGCGCTCAATTAATGCATGACACCTAATACGAAAACTATACTTGTAGGTCACAGCAATCGAAGTTAAAACAATTAATCCCTTTTATAAATTTTGATAGAACAGTGAGAAGACTTAATTGATCGGAAAAATGTGATGTATTTGCGCCATACATTTTGAACAATCTGGTCACACATCTACTCTTTTCAAGGCATTTTATATGAAGATTAATGAAAGGTCAATCAGATAAAAGTTCAAAGAGACCTTAGGTGATAATTGTAAATGAAAGAGAGAGAAAATTAACGTAATATGAAAAGAATAAGAAATGATAGGAAAATTGTCACATTACCCTAGGATTAAAGATTACCAAAATAAATTCAAGGTTATGACGAATTGTTTCTGAACACATAAGGGGGTTTTAATTTTCGAATAGTCAAGGTCTTCATGAACCTCAAAATTCATCCTTCAACATTTCTATACAACGTTTTGAAGGCTGTCTTTTATTTAATTGACCTTTTATTCATCTTCATATAAAATGCCTTGACAAGTAAATATGTTTGACCAGATTGTTCGAAATGTATACATCACTGTTTTCGGATCAATTACGTCTTCTCACTATTCTATCAAAATTGAACTTAAGACAAATCGAACATTTCGCTCGTAAATCTGTTCATAGCATTTTCTAGAAAATAATATTTAAAAAATCAGTTAGAATTTTAAGTTGACATAATAATTCACTTTAATGATGACTGTATTTTTATCTGTACAACCAACAGATAGAATTTAATTGAACTGTATTAACTGATTTACAGATGAAACACGAGCTGCTGCTATAAAAATGAGTGAAAATCATGGAGATTAACAAATGAAGTTTGTTTATTTGCATACAAGAATCTCTTATTAAATTTATGATGTCGTTTTCAAAAAAATTCAAATATTTCAATATTTTTCGCAACACCTATTCGAGATGACCATTAAACTAGTGAACAGAAATTATTGGTTATGCAAATTCGGTGATCAGTGGGTACCGATTTGTGTGCAGATCAACATCAAGCAAAATATGAAAAGTTCAAGAAATTTCACATAGTTTTATTTTGTGATGCCAATTATCAGTAAATTTTCAAGTATCATATGATTTGATTGTGATTTCCTGTCAACTGATTGTGATAAGTTTGTGCTTTTATATAAATTTGGATTATTTCAATAAGTTAATTTCTGACAGCTGGATAATATTTCTGTTAAAAAATTTTCACATATATAAATATAATGTTGGGGACTTTAGATACCCTAAACTCGCTTGATAAAGGCCTATATTTTGGATTTTATTCATGGACCGATCAATCGACCTTCAGATCACATTTCCTACTAAGAAAATCCTTGGCTGTGATTGGTCGGTGTGTTATTTTAGTGTGCTATTTTTGTGACTCTCTTAAGGACGTTTCTATGATGTATAAATAAACACGATTTGTGTGCTGGCTGGGTGTTTGTAGAATACACTTTATACGCTCTATCAATACCTTTTCGTCAATTAGTTTGTGGCAACGGATCAGAGTAGCCTACCGTGTCATTAGTTCATTGTCTCATTCTCGTTTATCGACTAAGGTGAACTCGTGTTAGTTTCAAGCATATCAAGTGACGAGCATATATATAAATATATATATTACTAATGTCAACTTGTCGACATAAACTAAAAGTGAAGTTCTTCTTACTGACCAAAGAAATTTAAGCGGCTAAAATAAATAAAAATTTCCAACAGAAAGATCAGTTCAAATAGTAAAACTTTGAATGAAACACTTCAATTCACTGTGATTTTTTCGATAAAAATATATTTCATACTTCAATAAAAGATAATCATTAGAATTTTTATATACAAATAACTAAATAGAAACTCATCAATAAAAGATTGTAAAGAAATAAAACAATAGAGAAAAACGATTTTATTCACTGTAACAACTTTCTTTAAATTTGACCTTGACCGCCAAAAGATGTTGAGAATAGTAAAAATTTAAATTCACTAAGTTCAAAGCGTTTATTCATTTTTTTTAATGGGTAGCGTTTTATCACTGAGTGAGTTTTCTAACCTCATGCTCAACCCTATTCATTTATCCGGGTTTGGGACCGGCAGTAGCTCCAGAACAGTTGCGTGCGGAGTTATATATATATGTAAATTCACATACTTGGCAGCCCCACTGATGTGTACGGTGGCTCTGATCCAGACGTGAAGCCGTGGACAATCAAAGAAAGGACCGCATTCCTATAAAGGAACAACATATAGAACTCAAAACAATTATCAGTCAACACCAAAGTTACAATTTTCAGTACAAATGTCAAGACAGTTGTACCGGATGGAACAGATACCTGGAGGAAAATGGAAGGCCATAATCAGGAAGATACAAGTATTGATTAATAGTTGTTTACGAAGACACTGATGATCCGTCTGCTACACATCATTAGCAACAACCTGCTGTCGTAGAGAATAAACCAGATTCTAGCGGAGGAGGAAATCAGGAAGAAGCGATGAAAGTCAGTAGGACACACAATAAGCAAATCACCCAACTACGTCACTACACAAGCACTCAGGGACGGAGGGAATGAAGAATACCAAGAGAAATGGAGACAGTAATTAGAAGAAAGAACACCAATTAGATAGAACTAGGAAGGACGACCTTGGACAGAGTAGGTTTGAGAGTGCTGGTTGGTGGCCAATGCTCCGTTTAGGGAAACAGGCTACTGTAAGTAAGCAATATATAGATGAGGAAATGTTCAGCTTCACATGATCATAGAGCCGAGAAGCTGAGAAGGAAATATCCAGTACGACGTTTACTGATATTGATGGAATCCTTGAGTTTCCCGAGTGCTAAGCAGTTTCAAATAGTGAAATGATTGGTCAATATTACTTTAATACATTTTATTTCAGGAAATAATACGGCTAAAGATCAATAGCTGCATAAAGCAGATATCAGATGATTTCCAAAAGCGAGAAATGAAATTTAATGACGCTTCAACAACTATAGTATTTCGGCGTAAATATTTCAGCGCACCTAGAGACGTGAATCGAGCTCCCATTGTAATCTTACTAGAAATAGAAATGTTCTGTAAAGATTAATTGATCAAAAAACCCTAATCAAACAGATTCCCTCGTAAGGAGAAGCATCGTTATTGACAACATGATTCAGTCAATGGTCATGAT